TATTATATTATATTATATTACATTTTATATTATATTCACTTTTAATAAGAAAATTATTCACATTACAATAATTAAAAACAAAGGATATCATATTAAGAACTTCAAAAGGCTAACTATAATGAAAATAGTAACTTGTAAGCATAAGAAACTAACCAATCACAATCGAATGTTGAGAGAATAATCGATTAATCAATTTTTTACAGCTCTTATAGCTTACTATCTTCATTACAGACTGCTTCTAAAAATACTTATGCATGCAAAAGTACTTTACTTTTGCTTTAAATATAACAATTTTAACGAAAATGTTGAACAATTATTGTTTATTAATTTTTTCTAAAAATATAATACTTGCTATAAAAAAGATTTATAAATGACAACACATATTTAATTAGTGTTAATTTTAATTCATTGAAAGCAGCCTATCGACTGTCAAACCTGTGGAGTCTCTCATCCCACAAACAGGAGTACAACTCAAAAGTGATTGACTCCACGTGCCGTCGTGAAGGCACATGACACTGGAAGATCCTTTACGACGCTCATAAAATGCTGGACAATCAAGAAAAACTCTTGTGCTGACTGGGAGGGCCTGGTCACAAGACAACCACCCTTTGTGAGGACCCCACATCGCCTCGCATTGTCTAATCGCATTATGCGCTTCAAACGGTGTTGGACACGTTATTCCTTTCGTCTCATTCTCTGTAATATGTTATATGCGCGATCGTAAAAAAATAATTTATTTGATAGATAAAAAACAAATCTCGCGTTCCGATCGAATGAACGTTACTTACTGAAGGTACAACTCGGGACATTGGGAAACCATCGGTTATTTTGACAGTAAATTTCACTGGCACCTTGCAAGAAGCCTTCGACGTCACAGACATAGTCAAGGCGAGTGAGCTCGGGAACGACTTCTCCCGGTCGACATCTGGAGCATCCGCTTACGTTGTAATGGGTCCCTGCTTTTGCGGCGGGCAATCGACAGGCACCTTCTGACAACGTTATCCCACATAACGACTCATCCTCGTCGCTCCAATCGTGACAATTAAGTTGAGAATTACACTTCAACTCCGGCCGAATGCATCCGCCATAAGCGCAACGAAACCAATTTTCAGGACATCTGTAGTAAAAATAATGATTACTAAAGAGCACAAAAAAATTGTGTCAAATTACTTAGATCAGGTATTTCTTATAGATTTTCAGTCGTAAAAAACAATGAGTCTATTCTTTAAAGTTATTTTGAATTTTAGGAAAAATCATGATTATTGTTTTTTGTGACTGAAAATCTATTCTAGTTAGAGTTACTTGACACAAATTTTTCTGACTTTCTGGTTACTAATGATCTCTATTAATTAATATGTAGTCACGAAAAATAATTTTCATATTCTGGAAATATTGGAAATGGATATTTTGCAGAGAATTCTCGTAATTTGAATAAAATAACGAATATTGACTGAAAAAAATCAATTTTTAATAAAATAATTAATCTCTTAGAATTAATATAAAATCTTTTAATCATAAAATTAAATTACAGAGAAATTACTCAATCTATTAGGTGTACAACTTTGCTTCCGCCGTTTTCCTATGGATGGTTTTAGCGGTAAGTGGTGGTCGAAATAAATAGATCATAGACGTCATACAATAAACTTGGGCATCTGTCAACATAACCCCATAGAAACATTAGTCGATTTGTGTCTGCATCATAAAGTTATTCTCGATTGAAAATGTCAGTTTACGAGCCAAATTCTCGTCATTTGCGGGAGGTTTTAATTTTTTGCTTCAATATGAAGAAATCTGCGACTAAGGCTCATCGAATGCTCTCAAATACTTATGGTGAGGCTATTAGTGAAAGAACGTGTCGTGAGTGGTTTCAACGCTTCAAAAACGGTGATTTTGACGTCCAAGGTCATGCTCTGTATTTGATGGGACTAGCTCGGCGTAGTGTATTATGAACTGTTAAAACCGACTGAAACAATCACAGGCGATCGGTATCGAACGCAATTGATGCGTTTGAGCCGAGCATTGAAAGACAAACGGCCGCAATACAACGAGAGACACGATAAAGTGATTTTGCAGCATGACAATGCTCGACCCCATGTTGCGAAAGTGGTCAAGACATACTTGGAAACGTTGAAATGGGAAGTCCTACCTCACCCGCCGTATTCTCCAGACGTTGCTCCCTCTGACTATCACTTGTTTCGATCAATAGCACACGGCCTGGCTGACCAGCACTTCCGGTCTTATGAAGAAGTAAAAAATTGGATCGATTCGTGGATAGCCTCAAAAGATGACCAGTTTTTTCGACGCGGGATTCGTACGCTATCCGAAAGATGGGAGAAAATAGTGGCCAGCGATGGACAATACTTTGAATCATAAATGTATAACCAGTTTTTTACAATAAAGCCTCGAATTTCGAAAAAAAACGGCGGAAGCAAAGTTGTACACCTAATAAGTCGCGAATTATTTTTAGTGTACGTACTCATATACTTCGCACAATTTTGCACTTTCATCAGACGCATCTGCGCAGTGTCGAATACCATCGCACACTTTAGTCATCGGTAAACATTGCCGTCTATTCTCGCATGTGAATTCTTGATCTCTACAAAAATAGAAAATAAACTATCCGAATTTTAATTTTTTAATCAACAAGAAATAAGTCAATTAACCGGCATTCGTATTGCGAACATTCGTGATCCTCACAATTGACAGCCGCGCATGTACTCGAGTCTTCGTCGGTGCCGTCGACGCAATCCTTCACACCGTCGCAAACCACTTCCTGATGAACGCAACCTCCGTACGAACAACGGAATGTATACTCAGGACATGTATATTCGCGACAGAATGTCGCATTCTCATCGCTCCCATCTGAACAATCTTTGTAGCCTTGATAAAAAGCGGAAGGAATACAAGGATAAAATTTTTCAAGTATAAAAAAAATAAAATATCACATTATATTGCATAATTTTATACCAGAATAAAACTTAACAAAATTAATTTGATAATTACAGACCATTGCACACCTCGGCGAAAGGTATGCACTCTTGATAAACAGTAGAACATTGGAAATCTCTGTCAAAACAAATATCATTAGCGCCTCGGTCACAAGCGATTTCATCGCTAGCGTCTATACAATCTACCAGACCATTGCATCGCGCAATACGACTCACGCAGGCACCGTAATTGCATCTGTACATATAAGTGGGACACCTGCAAAAAAGCTTTAATAATGTAATATTTCATAATGATTGTTCAAATTGTTGTATATTACATTATTGTTTAAATTATTACAATATATTCTGTTAATTACATTTTCAGATAACATTTATGTTGCTCAAGATATCTGAAAAATTTTTTTAGATGTCTTATGTCTAAAAGATATCTAAATGTGCATGTCTGCAATGCATGTTATCTGAGATTTTTTTCAATATAATTAATAGAACATGAAGCTGATAACATGAAATCGTGATTCATGCATGCGTGCGTGGAAGCTAATATGCATACATAAATCCACAAATGCATTTTTTTTTTTTAGATATTAAAAGATAGATATTTTAGCAAAAGAATACCACAACGTTGTAACAAAAAAGTTAAATATGTAAAATGTTTTCTCGAATATATGATAGAGATAGGCACAGTAAAGTAAAAAAAATAGTCTTATCAGTACTTTAACTGTTTTATCTTTAGTTGGAAAAATATCCGGTTTTTTTGCGATACCCCCTGGTTTAGTGACTAATGGCGGAAGTTAACGGAAAATATCTTCTTACACAACATGACGGCAAAGTGTTCCGATTTCGTCCGACGAGTCCGGACAATGAGGGATACCATCGCAAACATTCACTAATGGCATTACGGTGCCGTCCACACAAATAAATGTCAATGATGAATACACTTGGCTATTCTCTTCTGCGATAACATGTATCCTACTAAATCCTGCAAACTCGCGTATATTAATAATCTCGTCACGATTACACTATGCACGTACGTTCATAATACTAATGTACTCTTTAATGCGAGATTAAATATCCTCAATATAATATGCAACCATTATGATCCTTTATTATGCATGCGCTTTATTATGTGCAAACGTACCGAGGATCGTTGTAATTAATGCAATCATCTCTAAAGAATAATTACTACTTCTAAAAATTAAGATTGCTCCTCTCGACACAGACTTAAGTAAAAATACATAGCCTTCGATTCAATATATACTCGTAATTATCTGACAAATTATTCTGGCACTCGTACGTGCATAATTTTTATAGCAGCATGAAAAATTGTATATTTTGTTCGTCTGGACACAATAGAATACCGCATGAATGCTGTTTCCTTATTATCAAAAACAAAAAAGTACAAGCTGCAAAGCATTATTCTACTTTGCGTTTCTAATATACGAAAATATATTTACGTTACTTTATCTTTATTCTTTTTCTTTATCTTCGAATGACGAAGGATTCGAAATTAGAATAAAATAAGCCTATACTTTATGAGATTTATTTTAGATATGATATACTTTTAATATTCTAAGTAAATCTTAGAATTGTAAATTTAATTAACGCTATAAATCCTTCAAAATTTTGTTATCATTATCGTGTATATTTCAAATTTTGATAATCATCTTTTATTTATTGATCAAATAAAGTTCTACAATATCTATTGGCTATTAAAAATTCATTTGTATTACCAACAATATTGGCTACAGATTATATTTCTCGGAACAAGTAAAACTATAAAAAAACAAGATATACTTGTCTTTTTTTGTATTAAAAATTTAAGGGAATTGATATTCATTGATATTTAGTCATCAGTTGGCTGATATCTTCGTGGAAAGCTATCATCTGATAAACGAGTAATATATATTGCTTATCTTGGAATATACTCATCATTGACGACTCAACATTGTTCGTCATGATGTAATTAAAGAAACATTAAAGACAACTTCCGAAAATGTAAACCATGATAATAGGTCTTAAAAACGGGTCATAGAAATAAGACGGAGCAATAATTTTAATCGCGTATATGCATCTATGTAGCTACCTCTCGAATTTCTGATTAATATAAGAGTCCAAATTTAAAATTTATTTAATTTATTTATGTTTAGTTACAATTATATATTTAATTACACATATATCATAACATATTAATACATTTATGTACTTATTATAAAATTACAAATTAGATTTATAATTAGATTTATAATTATGTAGAATTTCAACAACCTTATTTAATATTCCTACAACCATTGGAAGTGGACTTGTGTTAAATACACTGTTTCCACAATCGATGATTTGCACTAATGATCTGATTCTCAAAGGATAGGACAGCATGGATACAGAAATAATGATAGTAATATATCGGCATATGTATGTATACTATATAGGGCGTGTGCGTTCGTTATCGGAGGCTTCTTATCGTTCGGTTTGTGAGAAGAGGCACACCTAGTTCCTCTTTGCAGTTCATGTTGAAAAACACTCAATCGCTCCAACGATACAATCGCTCCAGTTCGTATTAAACTCTCGCTGGATATTGTCTCTAGATCAGCAAGGAATGGGGAATCTCGTTTGGGTAATTTTGCTCGTTGCAGCTGCACATGCGCAAGATTTAGACAAAAGACATTTTTGTAAGTAAATTTATTTTATATCAAAATTATCTATTTATTATATTTTAAACCTATCCATTTATACAAAAATTGTAATAAATTTTTTGTATTTTATCACTTATAATAATTTAAATACAAATTTTAAAAACAAATAGTGATTCTGAAGTATGTTCATCACAAGTTTATTTTGTCTTTACTGCTTATTAAACGTGGTCTGGATGAAGTCTCTGAACGTAGTTCTAAAGAAGAATTTTTCAATCTTTATATTAGAAAGATGATAAAATTCATATTATTATATTAACGGATACATTTTCGTCCAATTGAAATGTATGAACATTCAACTTTACTTTTGAGAAATTTAAATCAGCAATTTATGATAACGCTTATTTTTTACATTATTATCAAGGATCAAATAAACGGATATCTTGAGAATGATCAAATTATTTGATTGCAATTGACGTAACATCTTACCGATGTAAAATATGTTACAGTTATTATTTTATATTATAAATATATTATTATCCTGTCATCTTTTCACATCATAATATAAATCTTCTGGGAAATATTATTAAGTTTTTGTGACTCCTGATACATAAACAAACAAAATTAGACTTTGATGCAGTGCACACATATAAAATCAAATATCGAGAAAATGATAACATTGTATGAATTACCTCGATTAAAGAGAGCTTGAAGTAAACTTAATAAAATTATTGATAAAAATGTATTTATTATTTAAAATAAAAAAATTATAAAATAAAGAGTATTTCGACAATTATTATTCATTCTTATTATTCCTCATAAATTATTTAATTAAATTATATATTTATATCTGATTGAACTTCTCCCTCTTTCTTCTTCTTTTCCTTTTAATATATAAATAGACATTTAATATATAAATAGATGTTTCTAGAGCGTCAAAATATATTGTGATAAATGCCGCACTGTTTCCACAATCGATAATAAATCTGATAACTAAATTTGTATGTCAATCGATTCACAATTTTTTAGACAAATTCTGCGCACCCGTTGATGTGGTAACCGAATCTTCATGCATCGCTGTGCAACGAGGAAATTCTGAAGTGTCGTGTTTGAGCGTGTCAGACAGCTCCGAGTGCGCTATTCGCTTAGCTGAAGGCAAAGCCGATTTCGGTGTTTTTAATGCAGAAGAATTGTTATTGATAAACCAATTCTATCCATCTGACATCGAACCTATTATTCAACTAAGGCATAGGACCAAACAGTTAGGTAGTAGAAAATGTTAAAAAGAATTTATAGTGAAGATGAAATTAGTATTTGTAGACGCCAATTAGATATATGACTGAAAATTAAATTTGATTTATAATGAAAAAATCTGGATTAGTAATAAACATGAAATTATTGGAGATTAATACGCGAAGTTTTATCAAGTTAATAAAATTAATAATTTAGAATCAAACACAAGATATTAATAATAAATTAATTAAAACATATTGCTTAATAATATTCTTGAGACTTCCACGGGTCCTTTCTATATAAAGATTATGCGTTTCGCGGGTTTCTTCCGTGTCCAGATCCATTCTTGGAATGCTAATGTTTCGTGAAGTTCACTTACAATATCAGGCTACTCTTCGTCCTGATGAAGTGAATTGCAAGGTTCACGAAACGCATAATCTTTACATATTGCTTAATGGATTTTTGGAATATAACTTTCTTGGAACTATGAATTATCATTAACAGTCTCCTCTGAAATTAATTAAAAGCCAAATTAATTAAAAACAATTAAATTCCAAATCATTTTCAAAAATGATATTTTGTTATTGAGTATTAAACAAGTATTAAATTTAGTATTAAATTTAAAATAAATATTTAAATAACAATATACTTTCTTAAATTCTTAAATTCTTCAGTATGATAATAAACATATGTATATGTATAAACATATATGTATGATAATAAATATATAAACATAATTTAATTTCCACAGAAGAGTTTGAATTTCAAATGGTAGCAGTGATTCCCACAGATCCAACGTTCATACACATAACTCCTCGCGAACGTCTCGAACGTTTAAAAGATAATGGATTTTGCCATCCTGGTTTTAGTCAATCTCAATGGCTGAATGATTATATTCTCAAGTATTTTGAAAACACATTGTCAGTGAATCCTCTGCAGTGCCAAGATAATGTAACCGTTATTGAAAACGAGATCATAAATCTCAAGAATTTCTTTGGAAAAGCTTGTAGACCAGGCGAATGGGCTTCTAATAAGTCAATCGATCAAGAACTAAGTAAGTAAAATTTTTTATGTTAAAATAATCTTATTTTCTTATATTACATTTTCTTGCATTTACTTATTATAATTACCTGTTATAAACTTCTACTTAGAAAAAAAAAAATTTTTAATTATTTTGAAGATTACATAAGTTCAAAAATAAAAACTGTTTCTAAAAGGTATATAATTAATAATAATATATTTCTCAGAGGAGAAATATCCAGAATTATGTGCTCTTTGTGACGACACGGCGGCTTGTAGTTATGATAATAAGCAGCATCACGGACATTTCGGAGCGCTGCAGTGTCTAACTCAAAGTCGTGGTAAAGTGGCATATGTAGCACTTCACTACGTTCAAAAATATCTTCAAGTAAGTAGGGTGTTTCATTTTTATTTAAAACAACAGTTACAATCGCAATGCATAAAAGCATCATGTAGAGCAGTTATTAATTATATTGATTTATTATATGATATTATATTAATTATTTGTTGTATGTTCCAGACAAATGAATCGTATCAGTTTTTATGTTCAGATGGCAGTATTCTTCCTTTATCCACCTCAAATCCTTGCGCATGGCTCCAACAACCGTGGAGCGTCGTAGCAGTTAGAAAGTAAGCGAATAGTAGTAGTCAAGATAAATGAGAAAAAGCTTTTCTTTCACATTTTTCGAAAATGTATTCTAAAAATCACTCAAGGTCTCTTTTTGAAATAACCCGCTCGGATGTATCTTGATTGTATTCGCTTTTTTCAGAGAAGTCGCACACTCTCTTAAAGAAAAATTATCGAACTGGCTACATAAACCGAATTCAGACTGGACAAAGAGTTTAAGCCGAATTATACAAGAGGATAGCAAGGGTGTAGATTTGACAAAAATGACTATAGCTGCGTATTTAAAGGGAAGAGAAATCGATGTTGAAAATATTAAAACTTGTGGCAAGACCATTCGTTGGTGCACCATTGGTGATTCTGAGACTAATAAGTGCAAATGGGTGGCGAAAGCAGCGAAAGCTCTAGGTGTAGCACCGAGCATTTCTTGTATCATGTCAAATTCTACATTTCAATGTTTCCGCGATATAAAAGAAAATCGAACAGATATAATCGTCATTGACTCCAACTATGGTTACCTGGCACGAAAGTAAGTAAAAAATTTAAAGTATCGACGAAATTTTGATAAATATATGTATGTGAAATATATGTATGTGTTATGGCATTACTTGACATTTCTTTAATTTGCTTGCAGAGTATATAATCTGTCGACAATTTTATACAGCGAAACTGAAATGGATAAGAATAGTGTGACATTCGCTGTGATACGTGAGCCTAAAGAGGATAATTATCTCATAAAGAATTTCCAAGATTTAAATGACAAAAAGGCATGTTTCCCTGAATACGGTGGTCTTAGCTGGTTGAGTTTCATCAATGCTGCAAGACAAAACAATATCATCTCGTCTAAATCCTGTGACTATCCATTATTGGTGTCCGAACTGTTTTCGGGTGCTTGTACCCCTGGAATAGAAGATTTCGATCACTCGAGCATTGCCATTCCATCGAACGTATCATCTAAACTTTGCTCGGCTTGTAAAAATCAAAATGATTCGTCTTGTGCAGCGAATGAAACTAATCGTTATTACGGTGACAAAGGAGCCATACAATGCCTAATTGATGAAACCGGCGATATAGCATTTATTGAGACGACAAATATATTCACAATCAGTAATAAAAAGCAATATAATATTATATAGAAGTATTATTATAGAAACTTATTATATAGAAAATAATATTATTATATATTTATATATTTTTTATTTTTTATTTTATATATTTTAT